GGGTGGGCACTGGCTTCTCCCAGGTGGTGCCCGCTGCAGCCCTGCTTCTCACTAACGCCTTACCCCCCCTCTCCAGAGGCACCGAAGGTGGAGGTGTATTCCCGCAAACATGTCGCAGACGGGGAGGAAAACGTCCTCAACTGCTTCGTGAGTGGTTTCCACCCTCCGAAGATTGACATTTCCCTCCTCAAGAATGGGGAGCCCATGAGCAACGTGAAGTACACGGACATGTCCTTCAATGAGAAGTGGCAATTCCAGCGCCTGGTGTACGCGCCGTTCAACCCCCGGAAGGGTGACGTCTACGTTTGCAGGGTGGCCCATTCCACCTTCAGAGAGCCGCAGTCGTTCCAATGGGGTATTGTGTGCCTTCCTCTTCAAGTTTTGCCCCCGTTCACGTGCAGAAGCCAGGGCTCGTTAATTTATATCCACAGTGTCTCTGTTCCCCTTCTCAGGAAACAGGGTGCTATAATGGGGTGGATTTTGAAGGTCTTGTGCTACAGATGGAAAATTAGCTTGGTTTCAGCTGGGCTGCTGAAACGGCTGTGTGTACGTATCTGTGAAAGAGTTCGTTAGTAGCAGACAGGGAAGACTTGCCTTAGTATTACCTGTAGGTATTTGGTAATGCTGTGTCTGACGACTCTCAGTGGAGCACTCCGATCTTTTTCTAGGTGGACTTGCCTAGAAAGAGATGGGTCGTGCAGTGATTTTTGGCTTTATATTTGGTGAATATAAAGAAGGATATAGCGGTGGGGACCGATTGTGGTGATCCAGCCTGCTGCAGCAAGGAGACAGCCGAGCAAGGGCAGCTCTCTGGTTGCTGCACTGGGGCTGTTTCCAGCAGGGGTGGGCTTGTGGTGATGGTGAGAGGGGGTGCCGTTTGCCTCGCAACCTAACATTCTCCCCTTCCTTCTTACAGATGCAGACTTCTAAGCTGTGTCCGGGATAATCATGGTGAGTTACGCTGATGCTCCATGCTGTGCTCATAAGGGGAATGTGGACTGCTTTCTGTAGGGGGAAGTCTGTGGCTTGCAGAGTTGAGGAGCAAAAGCAACCACCAAAAAAACCCCCATATCTATAGTGTTTCGGCTGACTGGGAGCGGGGCTGTTCCCACACCCTTTCTACCCACTATGTTGGCCAGTTCTCAGCCATACCTTGCCTACAAGAATCTCCTTTGCTCAAAAGAAAGGAACCCCTTGGAGCAAAACTTTGCCACATGTCTGCCAGATATCGTTCAGAGTTGTTGCGTGTTCTCTAGTGCTTCTCCAGACCCTGCGGTGCTATCTTCTATCTGGTGAGGAGGAAGTTGCCATACCTGGAAATCCCTGTGACTTGGGGGGGAGGCAGGCTGGCGTGTCGGCTTGGTAATGTGGGATCTGTGAGGCATAGGTCAGGGCCTTGCTGCCAGACCAGAAGCAGTCTTGGTTCACCAGTGTCTCACGGTCTGAGTGGTCCGGGTTCTTCAAACTGTCTGGGCATAACTGATCTGGATTCAGCAATCGGGTAAATACTAGCTTAACCCTTGAAACGAAAAAGAAAATTAAAGATACATGGCCTAGCTGACATAGTTGCAATGCTGGTTGAAACACCTTAGTTACGGACCCTGGTAGAGGCTGGATTATTAATTGCGC